CTTGCCTGTTGATAATAAATAAAAATTTATCAGTAACATGTGGAAAGTGTTGCTTGGACATCAACCTGGGATATTCAAAGAATTTTACTGTGTTTTACAGCACCTGAAGACACTTTTCGTTTACAAATTTTCATTCCTGTACGATAAGATTATGTACTATACAATATCACTGTATAAATTTATAATAGTGGAAAGGACTACTACCTGTGACACAAAATAATGCCCATATCAATATTGCACCATTTATTATCCAAGACAAATGCATATGTGGTTATAATGTAATTTTAAGACTTCTTCTATACACTTTCTATGTAATGAAGAGCAACATGATTTTAGCTACCTAATTTTGAGTTCTAAAACAGAATAATTGACAAACTTGACCTTATGTTGATGGTTTTCTATGGAATAGTGTGGAAGAATGGGACAGTGAGAATTTGGTGTTGGCTAGAATTTGATGGTTGATGATAAATGCATGATGATAAGTAGAAATAATTATTGTTTAGGAAGAAAAAAGTGGGATATAAGATGAAGGCGAAGGCTTGTATTTTACTTGATTAGCTTGTTTTCAATTTGTCAATTTAGCTAGTTATTTATAGGCATACAACCAACTGAACCTTTAGCTATAGAATAAGCTCTATAGCCGCTTTTACTTTTTCAACTTATGGTTGATAACTATTTTTAAGAATTCTCTTTATGCTAGAAATTTGCAACACTTCCTATCAACCCTGAATTTTATCTCTGTTTGATGCACATTATTTCTGCAAATTACGATAATCAAGATAGCTATATTATTCATCTATTAGTATTATTTGTAGAACTAACCTGGACGTTGTCCACTCCGAATGCTTCTCTAAGCAAAGCCCAAATCATAGTTTCTTTCCCACTCCTGGCAGTCCTTCAAAAATGAAGTGACCGCATTCTTCTGCATTATATTGCTTGCAAAAATAACACTGTAGGAACCCTTTTTGTAGTAGTGGAAAAGGTGAAAAACATTAGAGAAATGACTAAATTTACTTACTACATCTTGTAGCCAAAGTGCTGTTCTTCGATTGCACAGAAAATCTTTCAAATAGAAGGGCCTATAGTTGTCAGCCTATACATATTTTCTATCATTTCCAGTTCTCTTCATATCCTCATTTTTAAAAACGATATCTTCAGTTGCTAAAGTTTGAGCTGCTGCGACAGGTGGTGCTTGTGCAAGCCGTGGTGGTAGTTGTAGTGGTGGAGATGGTGGAAAAATCGGGTCTTGTGTAGTTTGTGATGATATTTGTGGTGGGTCAACTTCAGTTGCTGGAGTTTGAGCTGCTGCCATAGGTTTTGTTTGTGCAAGTGGTGTTAGCAGTTGTAGTGATGGAGATGGTGGCAAAAGTGCATCTCGTGTAGTTAGTGATGATATTTGTGGTGGTCAAGTTGGCGACAGAATGGTGGGTGGTAGTTCTTGTTCTCTCTCCCTCAAGGGCTTCTTATTTGATAAACCAGTGGTATTTTCGTTCCTTTGCGCAGTCAAACTTATTTTCTTCCGCTCCAATTCTGAATCATTCGTCTTTGTTTTTATTCTAATCTTTGTTATAATCATGCCCGTAGCAGTTGCTTTCGAGGATTTTGAATCTAAAGTCACAGCATGAGTGTGTCCTTCGCTCTTACTCCAGAAAGAACTCGATGATGAAGATGATTTTTCACGGTTTTTCCCAGTATAGCAAGAAGTACTCCCTTTTTGCACCTTGACTACAAAACTTGATTTGGGAGCAGAACTGATCTCTTCCAGGACTGGATCCTGACTGCTTTTTTCTTTTGATATCAAGTGAAAATTCTGTTTGTGTGGGCGTTAGAGCATTGAGAGGACCTTTTCCTAGCACGAGAGGACCGGGAAGGACGCACCTCTGGTCATCTCTTCAACAAGTTTAGTAATGAACATAATGGCTCTATCGTTCCGATGGAGAGAAGAACCAATGGTTAGGCCTTTGCAATAAGGGCGACATTTAGAGTACCTTGTCTCAAGCATTGCATTTCTGGTATTGAACTCTTGGAGATTCTCCAGTCAGTAGTCAGCCCTGAATTCTTGGACGATTGACTGCCTTTTCTCTTGATAAAGGCGCCAAATTTCTTTGGCCAGGCCATTGCGAGGGATCCGGCTGAGAGCACAGACTTGTGCACACCGGAGGGGGACAAGTGTGGACTTTTACTGATCGGGAGCAGAATTGGAGTGCAAAATCAGAGGGCCCGGCATTGAAGAACCAAATATCATCAGTTTTTGATCTTGATCTCTTCCTATGCCAGAGGAAGAAAATTACGGAGGATATATCTGGAAAATGTTATGAGGTGTACACAATGCATTACACCTTTCTGACATGGAGGAGGGCTACGAATATTTTATTGTGTGTGAGCTCCCCTCCATGTGAGGAGTGTGCAATGCTATGTGTACACCACACATAACATTTTCCTACGTCTGTAATATCATGTCAAAATTATATTTTCGCGAAAGTTAATGAGATGGGCATATGAAAATATCTAACGTTGTATTCAATGATGTTGCAATTTTTTCAGGGCCAATTGATTTCACATTATGGATACAATTTTTATATTGCAGGCTATCTTCTGTACTTACTTTGACAACTGGTTTGTATGTGTCAAGATTTGTTGGAAAATCTATGCCAATTGTCAAATTTTTGAAACTTGGTTACTCATTTGGAATACAAATGTTTACAGATTTCTTCGGTGGTCTATGTTGAATTATTAGATTCTAATAACCTCTCATTAATTTTAAAAATTGATTAGGATTAATCTTCATTGTAGCTTTTATTTGATGGTAACCATTTCTACTATTTAATTATGTAATTAAATTGATAATAATACATTTCCTTGTCAGCATTGCTGTCGCAACTTGATTAAACTACTCGAGGATGTATCAAGAATAGTCTTATTAGACTTTTCCTACTGCCAATTCCTTCACTAAAATATGTTGATTAAGAGACTAATAGTCGATATTGTCATTCATTAAACCATGTAATAATCATGATGATTTTTAAGATAATATTCGACCCTATTAACTATGTGCAAAGGTGTTATCGTAAACTCGTCCCAAGACGCAATAGAGCACGATTAAACTGTCAAATTATCTGCCAAAAGAGAGTGATAATTGTGGTCGATCATGCTACGACATACTCCTTGTCATAATGGTTTATATGACGCCACATGACATTTTATCGTTAAAACACAGACAGTTTTCCCACGCAATCACATCCCACACACTGCATTTTGTCAAAGAATCTGGCCAGATTTTTCTGTCGCGGGCATGGGCGGATTTAGAGGTGGGCTGCACTTGGCTGCAGCCCACTGTTGACCAGGCCCAGATAGTTAAAAAAAAAAATTGTGTGAATTGTAGTCCAATAGCCCATATGTAACCACATTAGCCCACCAACAATTTAATTCAGTGGGCTAGTCCACCTAAAATTTTTATTGTGTTTTAATCTTTAGCCCACTAATTTAACCCAAACCCACTTAAATGTATCAATTGATAAAATCCATTTATCTCATTTCTTTCCATTCCTTACCACGTGAACTATAAGTTTTGCAAAATCAATTGAAAATGAAATCATTCCCAAAAATCAAAAACCCTACATCTCTTCCCCTTTCCTGGCCTTGCCCGTAGCCGCCGTCCCGCCGACCTGGACCGTCGTTGTCCGTCGGCCCGTCGTCGAGTGCCACTGTGCCACCGACTCGCTGGCTTGACCCCGCAGGCTGCAACCGCATCCCATCTTCCCAGTTCGGCAGTTCCCACATTCTTGCTTCAGCCAACTAAGTCGAGGTTTGGAGGTTCCATTCTGAAATTGAATCTTCATTTTTAATCTTCATTACAGTTAGTTAATCATTAATTATTTATTTATTTGCATTTCGCAGTTCACACTAATGAAATAGATAATCTATTTCTCTATGACCTCCTTTCTATGAAAGAGATAATTTATCATTTTGTTGTAATTGGAAAAATTTGAACAATTGATGAGAATGGGTTTTGTTACTTGATGGATTTTGATTGTGAGCAATGAGTTTGAAATGAGAGAATTTTGGTTTTGAATTAGAACCCAATTCTTTCAAAATTTGGGTGAAATAGGATGCCTTTAATGTGTTCGATAAATTTCCCTCAAATTTTCACTGATGCATAGGGTGATTTGTTGTGGAGTCTTGTGGTGATTAAAATTGACATTTGGAACGAAAATCGGAATCTTGGATTTCTGTGGAAAGTGGAAACTGATTGGTCCGGATTGGATGAAATTGGAAATTACCGAATACGTTTGTTTAGTCTCTAATATTTAGCCAATTTTCATGCTGATTGCTAATGCTTGCTTTAAGAAAAATTACTTATTTTTGATTTATATGGCATTCTTAAAAGTAAAACTATTGTTTATTTTTGTATAATACTAGGTGAAGCACTGGAGCATTTTCATAGGCATTATGATATTATTTTCATAGTTTTTTTTGGATTTTTTTGTTTAATTGTAGGTGATGCTTTTGATTTTTTGAAGTATTGTGCTATTTGCTAAGAAAAGGGTCCAAAGGCTAAAAGGGTTAAGGAGGTTCAACTTTTCAAGGTTGGTTCTCATTTCTCAATCTCTGACTTTGGATGAAAAATCTCATTTCATAGGTTATAGCAAATAGTAAATTGGTTTTATATGGTTATGGTTTTATCAATTTAAATTTATGCCTTTATGTGATATTGAAGTATCTTGTTTGTTATGCTTTTAGATTTAATATGGAAGAAGATCGACCTTCTAACAAGAAAGGAAGAACCTTGTTGTCTTTTTTTTCAAAAAGAAATAAATCTCGAGATTCTCCAATTCCTACGGCGCCCATTCCTCCAATTTCATCCCCAGAAGTTGTACGGCCTTCATCTTCCAATCTTAATGTAGAACCATCTGATTCTATTGAACGGGACCCTGGAAAAAGAAAACAAATATGTGAACATCCACGTAACGAATGCGATCAGATTAGGCGAGCTTATCTAAATGTTGGACCTTATCAACCAAAACTTTTGGAGTATCAGAGCAAAGAATGTGGAAAGCAGAAACGTCGATTTTAGGAACGTTGGTACAATCAGTTTCCTTGGTTGGAATATTCGCCTTCAACACATAAGGCATATTGTTTTTATTGTTTCTTCTTTCTCAATGAGAGTACTCCACCTAATATTTCATCGTTAGTTACTATTGGGTTTGATAGTTGGAAGAGGGTTAACCAAGGAAGTAAATGTGCATTTCTTATTCATGTTGGTACAACATCTTCGTCGTTTCATAATGGCTGTAAGAGAAGTGCTGAAGATCTAATGAAACCAACTCAACATATTGATAAGGTAATGCATTCTTTATCAAATGAGGAAATTCAGAAAAACCATTTGCATCTAAAGACCACCATTATGAGTGTTAAGTGGTTAGCACTTCAAAGTTGTTCCTTTAGAGGCCATGATGAATCTCCATCTTCACTGAATCGTGGGAATTTCATTGAACTGGTGGATGCATTTGAAAAAATGAATACTGAAGTAGGAAAAGTTGTATTGGGTAATGCTCCCAAAAATGCTACATACACATTTCCAGACATTCAAAAAGAAATTTTGAACATTATGGCCAACAAAGTCCGACAAAGAATTCGTGGCGAAATTGGGGATGCAAAATTTAGTATTCTTGTTGATGAAGCACAAGATGAATCTTCACAAGAACAAATGGCCATTATCCTAAGGTTCGTCAGAAGTAATAGAATTTCGACAGAGCGTTTTTTTGCAATTAAAAGTGTTAGTGACACTACCTCATTAAATCTTAAGAATCAAATTTCTGATGTTCTTGTTCGTTTCGACCTTCAAGTGCAAAATATGAGAGGCCAAGGGTACGATAGTACTAATAATATGCGTGGTTCTTGGAATGGACTACAGGCATTATTTCTTAAAGATTGTCCATATGCATACTATGTCCATTGTTTTGCCCACCGTTTACAACTCACATTGATTTCTGCAGCTAGGGATGTTTCAGATATTAATTCATTTTTTTCTCATTTGGATAGTGTTATTAATATGATTACATCATCTCCTAAGCGCATCAATGAGTTGAAAAGTGCCCAAAGAAAAGAAATTGAGCATTTGTTGGAAATTGGAGAACGAGAGTTCGGAAGTGGTGCTAATCAGATTAGTAATTTGCAACGAGCCGGAGGTACTCGTTGGTCTTCTCATTACAGCTCTGTAAAGAGTTTGATTGATATGTATGCTGCAACTTGCAAGGTGCTTGAGTATCTTAGTGATCATTCTCCAAATGTAAGATCTCGGTCCGAAGTTGGTGGTGTGTACAAAACTATGACAACATTTGAATTTGTATTTATTTTACATTTAATGCATAAAATATTAGCAATTGCGGATGTGCTTTGTCAGACCCTTCAGAAGAAAACTCAAGATATCTTGACTGCTATGAGATTTGTCCGTACTACAAAAACTATCCTTCAAACATTGAGAGAAGATGGCTGGGAAGAATTTCTTGAAGAGGTAAAATATTTTTGCTCAAAAAATGATATACATGTACGTGACTTTGATGCTTCATATATGGTTGGTCGTTCTCGTGGTCGTGAGTATCCTACCGTTGAACATCACTATCACTTTGATATTTTCAATGCAGCCATTGATTTTCTGATGATGGAGTTAGATACAAGATTTAATGAGACATCATTAGAACTCCTTTCTCTCAGTGCAGCTTTGAATCCAAAAGATTCTTTTGAATCATTTAACATTGATAATATTTGCAAGCTTGCAGAGAAGTTTTATCCTGAAGATTTTTCACAGCAAGATATTTATTGTTTGAAAGTTGAATTGCAACATTATCAGAATGATGTGATTTCCGAACCTCGATTTCAAGTACCTACACTTTTTGATTTATGTCGAGAATTGGTTGCAAGTAGAAGGTCGGAGAGTTACGTCGTTCTGACTAAATTGATTTGTTTAGTACTCACACTACCTGTTTCAACGGCGACTGTGGAGCGAGCATTTTCAGCAATGAAACATGTGAAAACGAAAATTCATAACAAAATGGATGATGGCTTTCTTATTGATTGTTTAACACTAAATATTGAGTGAGAATTTAGTATGAATTTAGATCTAGATTCTATTGTTGATGAATTTTATGCTTTAAAACATCGTCGGGTACAACTACGATAGGTAACTTATATTATGAATTTTTCTTATTATATATAAATGTTATTTATAGTTCGTACATTAAATTTTTAAAAATTTTTGCCCCCCGTACCATGAATTCCTGGCTCCGCCCCTGGTCGCGGGGCATTTTCCGTTCTGGGTTCATCCTTCTGTATCATTATGAACTGAACCATTTGTATATCTTCATCAATTTTCTACTGTAAATATACAGAGTCATCTATAAATTGCTCAGTATAATATAAATTGTGTTTCATTTTATCAAGCAACGTGTATATATCTTTCGACATTGAGTGTGCTTTATCCCCACAGCGAAATTCATAAACCACGCCATCCAATTCAATTGAGCTGCATCCAGGGTCTTTCTTCATTTTACCTTTTTTCATTCTTTTCCTTAGCCGAAATGCATCACTCCATTTCTTTTCAGCTGCGTAAATGTTTGACATGAGTACATATGCACCATCTTCTTCAAGTTCTACATTTACAAACTTCTCCATTACTCTCTCTGCAAGGTCAAGTTTCCCATGGATCCAGCAAGCTCCAAGCAATGATCCCCAAATCAGCACATCAGGCTGAATAGGCATGTTTTCGACAAACTCAGCAGCCTCATTTATCATCCCTGCTCGACCCAAAAGGTCGACCATGCAGCCATAGTGCTCGGTTTGAGGTTTTACGTTATACAACTTAGACATTTCCGCAAAATGTCTATGGCCTTCGTCCACGAGTCCTGAATGACAGCATGCTGTCAGAATGCCAATAAATGTCACTTCGTTTGGCTGTATGCCAAGTTCACACATCTCAGAGAACAGCTTAAGCGCCATTTCCCCTTTCCCGTGCATGGCTAACTCTCGGATGATAGTGGTATATGTATAAACATCTTTGCGCTTGATATCTTCAAATACCTCAAGCGCGTCTTCTATGCTTCCACACTTCGCATACATATCGATAAGAGCATTGCCAATAAACCCGTCCACTTCAATTCGATTTTTATCCACATAAGCATGAATCCACTTCCCGAATTCAAGAACCCCGAGATTAGCACAAGAATTGAGTACACCGACTAAAGTAACCTCGTCTGGATCAATTCCTTTCCTTTGCATTTTGCGGAACACCCTCAAGGCTTCTTCATAATCCCCACTCTCTGCCAGTCCCAAAATGATAGAATTCCAGGAAACCACATTTCTCACTGGCATCTGATTAAAAACCTTGTGAGCAGATTCGATATCACCGCATTTCGAATACATATCCACCAACGAGTTTCCAACATAAACATCAACATTTACCCCTTGATTGCGTATATGCTCATGCAACTTCCTCCCCAAGCTCAAATCCCCCAATTTAGCACACGCAGAAATCACGACAGCCATCATTTTCTCATCGGCTCGATATCCTGCCTCACACGTATCAAAGAACACCTTAACCCCTTCCTGCCATAACCCTGTATCCACATACCCTTGGATCAAAGTAGTCCAGGAAACCAAGTCCCAGTGAGGACTTTTATCAAACAACTTTCTAACATCCCCAATTCTCCCACAAACCCCGTATAACCGCATCAACGTATTGACCACATACAAATCCATCACATACCCATTTTTTATCACATGGGCATGCACCATTTCCCCTTCTCTCAGAGCGCACAACTGGGCACACGCTTTGAGAACAAAAGGGTACGTGTAGTTATCACCAAACAAGCCTTTTTCAACCAATTCGCAATACAAAACCAATGCAATTGAAGAACTTTTCTTACTCCTTGAACCTGAAAGGTATTTAATAATATCGTTATACACGGATATATCTGGGACAGGCAATCGCACTAAAAGGGTATAAATGTAGCTGAAATCTGTAAATTGTAATATGGAAGCAGATAAAGATGTGATTTTGGTGCACAAAATTTGTTGGATTCGGAGTGATGGGCTTGTTTTGACAATTGAAGTATGAATTTGTTTGAGTTCTTTAATGGATTTGCATGAGTTTAGTTTGTGAAAAAATGAGGAATCTTCGGAATTATTAGAGTAATGGGCGTGCAAGTGTGTAAAACTCGCCGCAGAAACATAGCTTGTCATCATGTGAAGAATGTCACTTAAAAATGATGACAATGGAATTTTAAGCATATATCAATGTGCATGGTATAATTTATTCTATTAACTTACAAATTAATTTTCAAATTAAGTGCATCAAATTATGCCTATGTTTGAGAAATATTAAAAGTAACTTATAAGTTATTTTACTTTTAACGACATATTTGGTAGGATTCGGAGTTCTTTCCCTCAGCTCCTGATTTATAGATTTGTAGAAGAGTTTTTTCTATTACGCTTATTCACCACTAATTTTTTATCACAATATAATTTTAGTAACTTATAGTTTATAATGCATTGATAACAAATATATATTTATAAATTACTTAGCCCCTTATCTGCGAGAGATTTTAAAAGATATTAAGTGATTTTTTTATTGTTGGCAACTTTCATTATAGCCTTTTCTTATTGTCTTTTCAATAAGTTATCGTCTAATTAGCCATTTCCAAATATGCTCTTTAAGCATTGTCAAATATGATGACCGAGGGTATAAGTAATTCAAAGTAAAAAAAGGGGTACTATAAACTTTCTGTAGGTTTAAAAAAAACAAATGCAGCAATGGGCTCATGTGCATTGCCAACGATGCGAATCTCTCCCAGACATGGGCTTAGATGTTTTCTATGAGACGTCATTTCATTAGTACATCATAAATTATCATACATTTTTTACCCTTTTTTGTTTCATTCTTGCAAAGATACATACATACAGAGAGAGAGAGAGAGAGAGAGAGAGAGAGAGAGAGAGAGAGAGAGAGATTTGAATAGAGGCATCTCAAAATCAACATAAAGAAACAGGAAAAAAATTAGAAAAGAGAGATTCCTTGTGAATAATGGAGGGTCAGGAGAAGAAGACATTAGGTTTCCTCTAATGTCATCCGTTGGCGTTTGTACCATGAGTACTTCTCAGAGAGATGGAAAACACGAACATCTTGGTGTGGTTGTAACGAAACGTAAAGATGGTCGAGGCCATGAGAGCCACGTTGTCCACCTCGTCCTGAGAATGTAAACCTCTGTTGACTTATTCCGTCACATCTTGCATTATGAGAAATGGGTAATTAATTACTCATTACATATGCATTGTTACATTAGCCATGGATGAATGAGTTAAAAGTAAATCCTCGAGATAAACATATACGAAATCCTTGATACAATGAAATGTGAATAGATGGATGGCAAAGGGTCCATAGTACTTGAAGCACTGGGGTAATCCAGTAGCCGAAAGGGGCCTAAAAGTGCTTACTACTACACCGAACTGCACTTGGCTCTACACATATACAAACCCTTAACCAGTGATTGACGGATCAAAGAAGTGTGGAATCTTGGGATTACTAACTCCTAAGATTCTCGTAAATTAATAAGGTCATAACGAATCGTGTTTGGTGTGAATTTTTCAGTGTGGTGATGAAGGACTTAATTGCGCTATCCTACTAGCTGCGGCTCTGCATCATGATCTTATTCTTTTCTTCGTTGTTATTTTTTTGATTGTATAAAAAGAGACAAAAACTTGGCAGTTTACAAAGATAGATACAGATTGTTAAATCATTCACAAAATGAATGTATTTGAAAACAAATGTGAAACTTCTACGGTGAAATTGTGTGTTCTAACAAATAATAAATAGGAATTTTCAAGGCTTTTATAGCCTATTACAAATGTATACACTTGCATATCCATAAAACATCCAGGTACTGTTTAGGTTTTCATTCAGTAATCCTATGTTAGAACTTTCCATGAGATGATAACTCGAGAGCTTTTTCTCCATGCTACAGTCCAAAATAAGAAAACGCCATCTGATGGCTCACTTAAAACAGAGAACTGCAAAAGAGGAAGAAAGAAAAAAACAAGAATCTGAAATACGATGTATATAGGAGCCAATAAAGAGAAGAAAACTATACGGCAATATTTTCTTTCATATGAAGAATTATCATGCTATTAGTTAGAAACAAACTACTTCACACATTCAGACGCTCAATAAAAAACAACTCTTAGTAACTTCCTTAAAGCATCAGCAATGTAGTAAAATGTAAGCTCAAGTTGATAAATGATGTCCGCCCAAACTATAGATAAGGTGGCAGCAAATCATAAACTAAATTATGTCTGATTCTATCAGGCTTAAGGTGGAGACTGTGAGGAATAAAGAGTATGCAGTATGCACCAATGTCGATGTGCAAATGCTATAATAAACATTACAAGCCAAAGAAGAAGCTTTAGGTATGATGAAAATGAGCAATTTACCTGTTCGATTGCATATAGGCAAGCAACCATGAAAGCTTTTGTTACAAGTGAACTATGGTTTAGAGACTTGTCCAAACAATTGTCGCCATTTGCCTGATAAATATTCAGAAACTCAGTCTCCTTGTCAGCTTCTAATCCACTTGCAAAAATCACTTTATCATCAGAACTTACCCTTTTGATTGCAAAGCTCGGAGCTTTCCTACCAACTAGCTTTTGCATAAGCATTTTCACAGACCTCAAAAGAATCGTTATGACAACCGATTTTGCATTCACAGAACTGAGTCCTCCTAAAAAATCTATGCAGATGCATCAGATTATCCTTTACCGGTAAGTATATGATCCCGAGGTTATGCAATGAAGATCTTTTATGAAAAGAACAGAAAAGGAAGCCTCAATGCATCTATGCCCCAACTTCCTGAACGAGTACAGCAAGCCTTTCTAACTCTCGATATATGTCATTGCTTTGAGTATGAGATTTGTCATTATACGAAAAGCAAGAGACGTGACCATTTATCTCAATCCAGCTCCATCCCAATTCTTTCTTTAATTGTTGTTGCTGCAACATAGCTCTAATGCGTGCTGCATCCTTCCACATCCCATGTACAGAATATATATTCGATTGAAGCACATGCATGCCGACATTAGAAGGCTGAGAGCTTAAAAGTTTCTGAGCTATAAAATTGCTTAGTTCAAAGTTTTCATGGACTCTACAAGCACTAAGTAATGCTTCCCAAGCATATGCAGGAAGATCCACAGGCAATTTCTTGACTAACTCAAAAGCTTCAGCAAGCAAGCCTGATCTACCAAGAAGATCAACCATGGTTGCATAGTGCTCTGGTTTAGGTATCAGATTCCACTGCTCCATTAAACTGAAGTATTTCCAGCCTTCACTGACCAGTCCGGAATGAGCACATGCAGTCAAGAGTACAAGAAAAGTAACATGGTCGGGTTGTGATCCAGCTTGAATCATGCGAGAAAAAATATTAAGGGCTTCTTCAGCAGAATTATGATATGCTTGTGCCACAATCATGGCATTCCATGCTACAGTATCGCAATTCGTCATCTTTTCAAATACTGAATTAGCCTCACGTATGAAGCCACATCTAGAATACATGGAAATCAATGAGCTTGTTATCATTCTGTCAATTTCATAACCATTCTTGACCACAAAGTTGTGCATCCCTCTCCCGAACAATTGTAACGAATGAACACCACACACAGATATCACAGTAGTTAATGTAACCTGATTCGGCTTAAATCCATTTTGCAACATCCGGATGTACAAAATCAATGCTTCCTCACCAAGGTATCCACAAATCAGAGTGTTCCATGATGATTCATCCTTCCTAGGCATCTCTTCAAAAAATTTGCGAGCACTAGTCATATCTTCTTGTTGCACATAACCAAGTAGTATTGAATTCCACGAAACTATGTCCCGCATGGACATCCTCATAAATAAATCAAGAGCCTCATGTAACTTTCCGTTCTCAACATAGCCAACAAGCATTGAGTTCCACGCAATAACATCCCTATCTGGAATTCTATTAAATAAATCTTGTGCCAACTCAATCTTATTATAATTCAAATAACCCCGAATCATTGCAGTCCAAGCCACTACATCCTTCTCGGGCATCTCCTCAAACAATTTCCTAGCTCTCTCTATGTCCCCCACTCTGAAGAAACATGTTATCATACTAGTCCAAGAAGCCGAATCACGTTTGCACATTCTCATAAACAAACCATATGACTCCTCAACGCACCTCATTTCACTATAACCTGCCAACATAGCATTGCAAAGAAACACGCTTTTATTCCAAGATTCGTCAAATAATTTCTTGGCTTCCCTCGTAATTCCATATTGAAAATACCCTTCAATCATTATCGCGAATGAGACATCATTCTTCACTGGCATTACATCAAACAATGCCCTAGCCTCCTCCAATTTCCCATTACAAACATACCCTGAAATCATGGAATTCCAACAAACCACATTTTTATCTTCAATCGCATCAAACAAGCTCCGCGCCTCTTCTAATCTTCCATTCTTTGCGTACCCGCTTAACATTGCGGTCCATGACACTATGTTCTTACTTGGCATCAAATCAAAGGCTTTACGAGCCTCGCAAACCATCCCATTTTTGGAATACCCTGAAATCATGCAGTTCCAACTCACTACATTCTTTTGAGGCATTTCATCGAATAGTCTGCGGGCGTTCTTCAGATCACCTTTCTTGAAATAGGTAGTGATCCTTGAGTTCCAGGGGAATAGTGGGTTTGCTTTTGTACTCAATTGACGAAGAATATATTTACCTAAATTTAGGACAGTAGACGATCCTAATTTGAAGTTTACATACATGAGAATAAAGGTATACCAAGAGACAGCTACTATGAAATGTTGGGTAGATGAGAAATTTTGAAAGCATACCAATTATTCACTCATAAATTAATTGCAAACTATGTTGATAAATTATAAATTATGTGTTGACAATACTTAAGTCAATCATTTCAAAAATATTTTTGAAATCATTGAAAATCAATGTTTTAGGGTGTGTTTGATTTCATTTATTTTTCATAAAAAATATCAGTTTTCCATCCAAATTTCTACTTGGAGTGTTTGATTGCTATTTTTTTCCATGGAAAACATTTTCCAACTTTTGAAAATATGCTTAATTTTCCTTATTTTTAAGGAAAATATTTTCCTTGAGTAGAGGTGGTTTTTATTTTCCACAAAAGATGGAAAATATATTATTTTCTATGTGATATTTTTCATGTCAATCAAACACACTCTTAATTCTTGTCAACACTTCAAATATTCAAGAGGCATTTTAAAAAGAATTATTCTATTTGAACACAATGGACATCATAATGGTGTCCGTAATGCCCGACGCCGATCTATGGTGTCCATTATGTACCCCAAGTATTCCCCTTTTAAAAATAAGATGCTATCTATTATAAATAGTTAACCTTTAAAATCATGTTTTAATTGACTTTTTAAATTATAGCCCTTGTTTGAGCCACATTATTTCAATAAGAATACATTATTGAATAGTGTATTAATGGAAAATATGTGGTTAAAAATAAAAAAAATAGTTTTAGATTTGTATATAATATTATTTTATTGAAGAATGTGTGGTTGAAATAATATCAAATCACTATTTAAGAATGTATTTTTTCAAAAAGAATGTGGGTCAAACACACTAACATTTTAATTTATAGAGTGGGGTTTGAAAAACCAAACCCACTCTCTATAATTAAGTGTTTGTTTGGAATAGATTTTAAGTCAATTAAAATCAATTTTTTTTATCGTTATTTTATTATTCTAGTCATCATTTTTTAAATTATTCTCTCACAGGTATGACCAATTCTATCTCTAACAGTCAAAAAATCCATTATCAAAATTCCTACCAAATAAGCACTAAATACAATCAAAACTTTTCAATTTTTAATGTAGGAAAATAACAAAATAATCTAGAGAAAATTCAATTAAAATAAAAGATAAAAAAATAATAAATATTTTTTGTTAGTAGTAAAATTAAATGTTAAATATAAAGAGTTTATTGAAGAACTTCAAAATTTGAACTCTCTAAATGTATAGATACTTTTCAAATGATAGAATATACTATTTAAAAATTTTCTTTTTTTAGAATATTTAAACATAAGATGCTCTTTATTTTAATTTAGAGAGTGAATTTGGCTTTCCAATTTCCAACTTCACTCTCTATAATTCAATGCATTTAAAGTTTTTTTAATTTTCAATGTAGAAAAATAATAAAAATAATTTAGAGAAATGCTAGTTAAAACAAAAGATGGGGAAAAGTAATAAATATTTTTTTAGAATATTAATATTAAGCCCCTATTTGATGTTAATTTAAATCAGATTTTAATTCAAGTCAAAGCCAAACAATTATTACTAACCATATTTTTATGGATCCAACAGTTATTCAACCACACATTTCAATAGTATCTATCAAAATTTATTAAAAATTTAATTTTAATATTATTAAATTTAAAGAGCTTATTGGAGAACCTTAAAATTTAAACTCTCGAAATTTATAGATATTTTTTAAATGATAGAATATAATCTAGGGAGTTAAAATAAAGCTTGTACAAGTAAATTAATTCGAAAAACATTCCACACCAACCTTCCGATTAAGTAGCCAGCTTCAACTCTTCAACAACCCTCAAATATCCGGCTTCTTCACTTCTCAGTTGCAGAGATTCTTATACTCCTCCTTGCTTTTTAATCTAAAAATGTTGTCTTTGAATCTTTTTCCTTCCTCAAATGTCAATTTCTCTAAATCCAGTCATAAGCATCCCATGAATGCTTATCTTTTGGATCCAAATCTTGTGAACAGACACAAAAATCCACAGTTTGTCTTTCATCCATTCAAAAAACCCACTTCGGAAATTAATATTGGAGTCCTAATTAGGCATTCTGAAGAACCCTTTTGCCAGATCTCCAAATCAAGATCAGATTTTGGAAAAATAGTGACTACCCCTTTCGGATTTTCTTCAAGACTTTCAGCCAGAGCAGCTTCTGGAGCCCCACAAGAAGCCAGCCCAAATGGTGAAATTGAAGTGTCAAAGCCGAACAAGAATCTGAAGTTAGCTTTTATTTTTGGTCTATGGTACTTTCAGAACATTGTTTTTAATATTTATAATAAAAAGGTGTTGAACATTTTTCCATATCCATGGCTTCTTGCATCATTTCAGTTGTTTTGTGGATCTGTTTGGATGTTTATTCTATGGTCTCTAAAGCTTCAGCCTGCCCCCAAAATCAATAAGTCCTTTATTGTTGCACTTCTTGGACCTGCACTTTTCCACACTATAGGCCACATTTCAGCGTGCGTTTCATTCTCAAAAGTGGCTGTTTCTTTCACTCACGTAATTAAATCAGCAGAGCCTGTTTTTTCAGTAGTGTTTTCATCTTTTCTTGGTGATTCATATCCATTAAAAGTGTGGCTTTCAATTATCCCAATTGTTTTTGGTTGCTCCTTGGCTGCTGTCACTGAAGTTTCCTTCAATTTTGAAGGCCTTTGGGGTGCTATGATAAGCAATGTTGGATTTGTACTTCGAAACATTTACTCGAAAAAGAGTTTGCAGAATTTCAAGGAAGTCGATGGATTGAATTTGTATGGTTGGATTAGTATTATCTCATTGCTCTATCTATTTCCAGTGGCTGTTTTTGTGGAAGGGTCTCAATGGGTTGCAGGTTATCATAAAGCTATTGCAACAATTGGAAAACCATTGACATTTTACTTATGGGTGATATTATCCGGAGTATTTTACCATCTCTATAATCAATCGTCATACCAAGCACTTGACGACATTAGCCCGCTTACATTCTCGGTCGGAAACACTATGAAGAGAGTGGTGGTAATCATTGCTACTGTTTTGGTCTTTAGGAATCCTGTTAGGCCACTGAATGCACTTGGATCGGCTATTGCCATATTTGGCACTTTCTTGTATTCGCAGGCTACGGCTAAAAAACCGAAAGTAGAGGCGGGAGAGAAGAAGGATTAGAAAGATGGTTCTTGTTTATTTCTTGTTATGTTTTTTATAGAACTTGAACTGCTGTCTTTGTTCGAGGTAAATTTTTTATGGAAGCTAGAAATTCAAGTTTATTGAGAATGAGGCTTTTTGGCTTGTTGCTAAGAAGACTTATATGTTTATTGCTTGCATTTACATATCATCACATGTGTCCATGTTTGTTATAATTTTTTTTCTGAATCCTCTTTCGAAGTTTTAAATTTTAGGGAAGCCTAGTGTGGAATAGAGTTTTCATGTGATTAGAAAGCAGAATTAACTCATTGTGTGATAAATTGTGGATCATAGAAGTTCAATTGCACAAGTATGTTGAAGATTGAATTATTTCAAATAAGATTCACAAGATCAAGATGCAATATTGATGATGTTTTATTGAAACCTTCTATGCACATTTTTTAATACGTGTGTGTATCGGCATCATTTTTTGAGGGATCACTTTCGAATGATGAGATTTTGTGTATGTCTTCCCATTTAATTAGATTTAAGGTCACTAGAAAAGTCACGAGAAACTTTTGAGATTCAAAAGTAGTTTTCGGACCCGTTTGACTAGTTTTATGAAAGTGCTTCTTCTAGTTAGAAAAATGTTTAGAGGAAGTTGATCCAATAAGTGCTTTTAAAAATTAGTTTTTAAATAGAATTTAAGGTAGCTTCCTCCAAAAGCTCTTCTACAAAAGGCAAAAGCAAAAATCATGCCAAAAAGGCATAGTTTTGCAACTCAAATGACAAGATTTATTTTATATCCTTCAAAGTTTGATGGAATAGTTCTCATTCTGCACCGGTGTTTGGTGTGCAGATTTACTTCATTTGCAACTCTTGCAAGCATATTTAACGCCTTCCTATCCATCTTCCTTTATGATCGTCTAGGATTAGCCATGAAATCTTGTTTTGCTCGTCTCTAGTGTGCAAACATTAGCATTGCCTTGTATATTGATCAATGGAATGTGATGGGGAGATGAACATTGGATGGCAATACCTCCTCTTTTCTGGTCAAGTATTTTGATTAATATTGAAGTTGCATGCAATCATTTGCACATTTACATGTTTGCATGTGTGCCCGTCCATTAAAAAAAAATGCAAATCCATTCTTTCGTTGTAAGAAATTCTTGATTCGAATCTCAATATGCTAATTGTTGTTACAATTCGTAACATCGTAAGAATTTGTGCGAATTTTTGAAATTGGTTGTTTCTTTTACGTAAATTGAAAATTAGATCAAGTTGAAATATCAAATTGGATGGAGATGCAAATCTATAACCAAATATATTCCCAATGCAAAAGGGGAGGTATTTTAAAATACCTAATTAGTATGTGTTATTTTGCAGGTGAACTAGTCCCTTGAACTTGTAGGATGAAATTGAGCCCTCGTCTGGCCGTGATTTTTCAATGGATTTTCAGCCATTTTCTTACCGTTGAGTCCAAGTGTGGGTCCCACCAAAGAAAGAGTCAATCAAAAATTACGGTCGCAACGGTAGAAAAATCCATTCTTTTCAGCCAATAATCTGCATCATACAGGGCCTGAATTCGTAGCCATCAAGGCAAGAGGGACTGGTTTTATCTTCTTCATTTTTTATTTCTTTTAAATGTAAATGAATAAAAGTTACTTATCTATTAATAACTTAGACAATGCTATGTGTATATATACCCCCCTCATATGGAGGAGAACTCATATATAATAAAATATTCGTGGGTATCCTTCAATGTGAGGGAGGTGTAATCCATTGTATACACTTAGCATTTCCCTAATAACATTTAATTATTGTGTTTCGACTTTTGGCTAAAACGGAATGTCTTAATTGAATGTGAAAGACAACTCTTCTTTCTACCCATGTACCCCACTCTTTTCTTGACCCTAATCCTTTGGCAGGACTTGTTATGTGTGTGTGTGTGTGTGTGTGTGTGTGTGTGTGTGTGTGTGTGTGTGTGTGAATAAAGGCAAGATATAATTTGGATGACTAGCATTTAGTACTTAATTAAGATAAAAACAAGTACAAGTGAGAACAAAACGATGAAGGATAAACATCGTGTCTATTTAATTTTTAACTATTACAGTAAATAACTAATATAGTGACAATAGAATAGAAAATTTGCATTACATGCACTAGTATATATATATATATTGGCAATGTAAAAGTTTTCTTTTACTAGGAGCTAGATGAGCAAGAATGTTTAGAGAGAACGGGAACATGTTGCTCGGGTATAGAGAATCAAGCTCAACTTACCTTTTATCTTTCCACAGGAGTCAACTTGTCCAAAATAAACAAAGATAGAGTTATCTTGAAATAGTTGATTCAGTTTTCCTTCATTGATTTAGTATAGTTTCTAGATATAAATTTTCATTTTGAAAAATAACAACTCATGTAAAGTTGAGAATAGTAACTTCAATAAACAAAATTTTGAGAGTACAATTTAGTCGATGGATTTTGCTACATTGTACATAGAAAATGTAATAATGAATTACATGATATGATGTGCATTGAAAATATTGGATTAAAAAGTTGATTATTTTTTAAATTGGCAAATGGTAGAATGACATGTGACATTATAAAAATCTTAATGTACATAGTCATCAATGAAAATTTTTGACTTTATGATGTATGTCTAAATAGAAGTTCTAATTTGAGTGGCCGTGGAATATATGGGAAAAACATTTCATCAAAGCTAGTACGAGTAGTCAGCATGACTCGTTGGACGTTGGCTCCACCACTGTGTGTCGGTATAAGTTGTGTCTACAATATTTTTTCAAAAAATCAAAAATCAAAAAGGAGGTATTTTAAAATACCTCTGTTTGTCTATTTTTAGCTGGTGTGGTGTAGCAAGCCTCGATCCTTCACCTGAGGGTATCAAATAAAATCCCAAACCCACTAGGCCAAGAGGGACTGGTTTTCTTATATTTATATTGAAAAAATATAAAAATTATCAATACTTTCAAAAAAGAAAATGGCCTATAATTTGATATAAACAAAAATGGAAAGTAAATATATCTTTATGGAACAAAAGGAGCACCAAATTGTGTAACAAACAATTTATGATGCATTGCGCTTCATAAATTTAAAACTTTGCAATAGATAAATTAATTTTTTATTGAAAAAATAAAATCCTAGTTACATATTAAAAATTGTCACTAGCAATTTTAAATATTAAATTTGATATATTTTCGTCATGTCTTACTATTTTGTCTTTTGCTTTACATCAGATTGTTACATTTTATAAGTTAATATATGTTAATTTTTGCGATTTGGTCTTTATATGCATCAAAAAGTTCGAGCTAGGATTGTGATTTAAGTTGATGAATCAAAGCGTTCATTTTTTGAATCCGAGTTTTTTGTTTTCTAGCATTGTTTACAGATTTAAGTGATAATTTGATTTTATTTATTTATTTTTTTTCCATATTTCTTGACAATTGAACTTGATATAGTCATAGTTTGGAGTGTGGTGTACCTTTTTGTTATTTCGAGTTCGTGGTTCTCTATTTAAATATAATTTTTTTTCTTTTTTTACTCAAATAGAGCGAGTTCAATACTTGGACTATAATTTTTTGATACTATATATTTATGTATCTAGTTAGTATTTTTATGCCATTTCATTTTAAAAGTAGATGAATTTAAGCATTGTCCAAAATTATATTAGAGGCACCAGCATGCCTCATTTTCTGGATCAAATAAAATTTATTAAAAAAAGATCATTTCTTCACAAATTATAATTTAATTTTTTATGTTATAATTTTCTCCTCTTTTTATGATTTTTAGTCTCCACTATTTTGAGTCATGTGGTCGTATTTCTTAGCTTCTTCAAGATTTCTTTGTTAGATTTTCTCATTAAACAAATTTTATCGAGTGGTGACCTGTTAGATATACTTATCGAAAAGGCTTATATGAAAATGTTTATTAAATATAATGTATATATAAAAAATGGTATTGAAGTCTTTTCTCCATATACAATTTAAACTCAAGGATTTGGGATGTCTTAAAAAATTTCTTGGACTTGAAATCGCTAAGTCTGCCAAAGGCATTGTGTTATTTCAAAGACATTATTCTCTTCAACTACTTAAAGATACTAGTTATCTGGGCTGTAAGACTACCTTTGTTCCTATGGATCCTAAGGTTCAATTAAGTGCTCATGATGGTGATATTCTCCCAGATATTTCTCAATATAGAAGACTTGTTGGTTGTCTTCTTTACCTATCTTAGCTAGATATCACCTTTGTTGTCCATAAACTAAGTCAGTTTCTGGCTCAGCCTCGTTTGCCTCATTTAAAAGCTGTGCATCACCTTTTATGTTATCTTAAATCCAATCCTAGTCAAGGTTTGTACTTCTCTTCAATTAAGAGCTTACTCAGTTGCAGCTCCGTCTTCTGTTCATTTAAAAGCGTTCTCTAATGCTGATTGGAGCTCTTGTTTGGACACAAGTCTGTAACTGTTTTTTGTATCTTCATTGGTGATTCTCTAGACTATTGGAAGGATAAGAAGCAAACTGCAATTTCTCGTTCTCTGTCGAAGCTGATCGAATATAGAGCTTTAGCCTCTACTGCATGTGAATTGGTTTAGATACACCAGTTATTGAAGGATTTTCAAATGGATGTTTCCTCTCCTGCTCTTTTGTTCTGTGACAACCAAGCTGCAATTCATATTGCTTCTAATCCTATTTTTCATGAGAGGACTAAACATGTCGAGATCGAATGCCATTTTATTCATGATGAGGTTGCTGACGGTTTTATCAAGCTCGTGCCCATTTGATCTCAATATCCACTTGTGAATATTGTTACCAGAGCTCTTCTTTCCTCTTCATTGTTTCCTCTTTTATCCAAGCTGGCTATAAGGGACATTCGCAATCCATCTTTAGAGGGAGTATTAAACCACTGTAAATAATTGTATAACTAATTCTATTAGTTTGTTAGTGTTATTAGGTAGTTAGTGTTACAAGTCTATTTACACGGCCTTCATTATAATATATCAAAGACAAATTAATAATACAAAATATATTATCTCTTCCAGCTACTCATTCTAAGCGTAAAACATTCATTCATTTTAAATTCCATATGATTAAACAAAGAAGATAAAAATAATAATAATAATAATAATAATAATTTATTTTTTAAATGCCTAATATTTAAATAATAAAAAAAGAGCCTCCATTTATATTATTGTTCGTTCAAATCTGATATGGAGATAATAGGACTGTTCGAAAATTATTAATTTGGAAAAATTACATGGTACCAGGTACTTAATTACCACAATTCAAAAGCCTGGGACCAACTTTCATTGTGCACAAATCAGGTTTTGACATATAATATGAACCCTAATTTTATTTCCACCCACTTTTATTTCATTCTCACACTCGCACTCTCACTCTTCTTTTGCATCTTCATCCTCTGTCAGATGATGTCGTCGCCGCCGTTGGAGCATCCGTCGCCAGAGATCAACCTCATTTCACTTCGCTGTCGCCAGCACTTTGCTACTGGAATGAAGAGATCGGAGCCTGCGATGAAGGCTTCGACCTGAAATTCCTCCGATTAGCGGTGTTTCTCCGACGATTTGTTGTGGCCGATGGTTTACGAGGTAGATGTGCTGTGAACAATTCTTCGACAATTTGCTATGAATGCTGCTACTCGCGGCTCTGCTTGATTTTTTTCATGGTTTTGATCGTTGGTGGATTTGACGGGTGGTGGTGTGTGCGCCTGTGCAGTGGTGTTGCTGATGGTATGGTTAGGCAATGAGTGGTTGAATTTTTTTCGATTTGTGTTCTGCCAGTTCGTGTGCAGTGGCTCTGGTGGTGGTAGTGGTGCCCCTGACAGTGGCTGTGTACGATGGTGTTGTTGTTGGCGGTGGTTGTTGGCAGTGATGATTTTGGGTGGAAACGGTGGTGAGATTGTGCATAAGTATTGTTATTGTATTTGGTGGTGGCGGTTGTTGTGGTTTTTTACGGCGGTGGAGGTGGTGATTGGTGGTTGGCGAGCTGGTAGAGTTGATTGCCCAAGTTTTTGTTAGCAATCGATTGGATCTGGTGGTGAAAATTTTGGCAGTAGCGATGGTAGTGGCGATGGCAATGATAGTGATTGAGTGAGGGTGGTGGTGACAGTAGAGGTGGTGGTGGTATGTGACCCACTGTTTGACCTGTGACCAATGAGACCTTAAAATTTGATAATTGTGACCAACAAATTCGAAAATATGTGACTAATAGATAATCTGTGACCTATAATTTTTTAATCTGCGACCAATGATGAAAACTGTGACCTATAAAATTTTTGATTTACAATCTCGAAATAATCTGTGACCAACAAATTTTTTTGATTTACGACCACGAAAAAATCTGTGACCAACAAAATTTTAATTTGTGACCCAGAAAAAATCTGTGACCTATAATTGGAGATTTGTGACCATAATTGTGTAACCGTGACTTTTATTATATTTAAATATTAAATATTTTTAATTAATTACATAAAAACCTAATTTTTGCATAATTAAACTTAACCGCTTTAATTTTGAAGTGTGCATACTTAGAACATGGTTTGTAAATTCTTCCCTATTAATTTTCCATATGGGCCACATATATTACCTTATAAATGCATATAACATAATGAGTTCAATACTTTTGCTATCATAATTAAAAGACATTTTCGAACAATCTCGTCCATTAATTATGCTAATATAGGATCAAAGCCATCCTCGTTACAAATATCATAACTAAACCCATCGATGGTCACATATATCAATGTGTAGCATTGAAATTACATGTAATGTGATCTAAACATGCCTATTTCCAACTGATCATACTTTATTTTGTAATACACTATACTTTAATGAGATCAAACCCATAAAAACTTTAATCAGAGTAAAATTTAACTGAATACATTATTACTGAAATAAACTTGAATGTACACAACTAAAATCATGTGTCAAAAAGACAATATCCAAAATTTCAAACTCCCATTAAACTAGTATATCATCAAAATGTATAGCATCCATGTGAGTAATGTACTCATGAAAGACCTTGAGTGGTAATCCTTTAGTAAATGGATCTATTATCATGGATTTTTTTTCCCAATATGTTTTACAGCATCCTGAACACTCTGAACTCTTTTTTTAACAACTAGGAATTTTATTTATATAAACTTAGACTTTGTTGAACTCCTATTGTTGTTTGAATACAAGATTGTTAACTTACTGTCACAAAATAACTTAAGTGGTCTTTCAATTCCATCAAAAATTTGCAACCCTGTGACAAAATTTCGAAGCCATATTCCTTGATTGGATATCTCATAACATGTTACAAACTTCGTTGTCATGGTTGAAGAAGCTATAAGTGTATGCTTAGCACTCTTCCATTATATAGCTCTTGCAACTAGTAGAAAGATATAACTCGATGTGGATCTCCTACTGTTGGCTTAATTTCCTGTATGTGAGCATATAATCTTTTTTCTATAAATACAGCATAACCCGCTTAGTTGCCTTACAATGATACATCCCAAGGTTAATTAAATATCTGCCTAACATTCCAACAATGAATGTTAAATCCAGACATGCGCATACGTGAACATACATCAAGCACCCTAGTGCTGAAGCATAGGCAATTATCTGCATTTCCTTTTCTTCAAGGCTATTCTTAGGGTATTGATTATGACTAAACTTGTCTTCCTTAGCAACAAGGGTATCTTTTGGTTTGCATGCATTCAATATCTCTTAAGTACCTTATCAATATGGCTCTTTTGTGATAATTCAAGAATACTCAAAAAACGGGATATTCTTTCATTTCAAAAATTTTTAATAGAAATTTCTTAGTTTCGTGCAATAGGCTTATATAATTGCAGGCAAGCAGTATGTCGTTGACATACAATACCAGAAAAATATATTTACTCTCATTGAATTTGTGATATACACAATTATCAATTGCATTTATCTCAAAACCAAACAAGATGATTATTTGATGCAAGAGGATCCGAGTCGAGTGATGCTGATTTGTCAGATAGCATGATGATGACGCTGAGATACCATGAGATGGCGTATCGGCGCAAAGATGGAAAGTGAATCACCATTATTTCTTTAATTGGGGGAATTTGACGCGTCTTTGGTAATTTGGCCATAACTTTGGTTACGATTATCGGAATCGCTACTATGACCCCAATTCGGAAAGCTCTCTTCAGCGCGCACGTCGTGGCCACTCATCTATGCTCGATGGATGTCAATTTCGAGCCCAAAATCCACTGTTTTCCTTTCCAAAATTCAATTTTAAGTTATTTTTTACTATTTATGGTAATATTTCGTTTCCTTTTTTTTATATGTTAGAAAACTCGAATTGAGCTAGATTTCTAGCAACTTACTTCTTTTACTTAATATTTTATTTTGGTATAATTTTTGGAATTTTGCCATTTTTGGTAATTTTCCCATAATTTCGTATTTCGCAGCTATTTAACCGGGCTTGTGGGTTAGTTTTGAGGAGGTTGCATTATTAATAATATTGAGTTAAATTCAGAGTATTTTCTCTGGTTTTTGGGCGTTTTCTGTCGTTCTTTTCTTGCAAATCATCTGCTACAACAAGCCAATAGGATAATCACTATCCTACCCGGCGTCAGTTGGTATCAGAGCATCAGCATCTTCTTGGGAGATAAATTCCATCAGTTATAATGGTTGGTGGACGTGGTCGTGGTCGTCGAGGACAGGTTCCGATTGAGGAAGTCCAACACCGTGATCGTAATATCCAGGATGTGACGATTGAAGATTTGCATAGACAAGTTGCGGAGTTAACCCAACGTTTGGTGGAGCAGGAGTTTGGTAATCATGATATAGAAGGTCACGATTCCGATACCAGTTTCGAAAACCCTTATCACCATCGTGCTCGAGTTTGGGAGCATCGTGGATGGGAGGATCGTCATGTGGATCTCGGTTTCAGAGTGGATCTGCCCGAGTTTTCTGGTACGTTGCAGGCTGAAGGATTTATTGATTGGCTGAATGAAGTGGAGCGGATTTTTGAATATAAGGAGGTTCCAGATCATGTCAAAGTGAAACTGGTCGCCATCAAACTCAAAGGTAGGGCATCTGCATGGTGGGAACAGTTGAAGCGTTCACGGGAGCGACAGGGGAAATCCAAAATTACTAACTGGGAGAAGATGAAGAAGAAGATGAAAGGGCACTTCCTCCCTTTCGGCTATACTCAAACATTGTTTCAGAGGCTTCATTCACTAAGGCAAGGCGCAAGATCAGTCAATGATTATACTGAAGAATTCTATCAGTTGGTGGCTCAGAATGATTTATCTGAGACAGAGGAGCAGATGGTAGCACGGTATTTGGGGGGATTAAGGCAGCCCCTGCAGGATGTTCTCAGCCTTCATTCATTGTGGACAGTTTCTGAGGCATATCAGCGAGCACTTGCAGTTTAGAAACAGCAAAGTAGGAGGCTAGTGGTCAGAGGTAAAGGAAGTCAGCCAGTTCGCCCTCAAGAATCTCGTCCTACTTATCAGCCACAGCGGGATAGTTCCAGCTCAAATATTAAGTGCTTTAGGTGTGGTGAACAGGGGCATAGGGTGACTGATTGCAGGAAGCCTGCTGGTCAG